AAAAACTGCAAATGGATCATGGAGAATCCACACTTCTTTTGGCAAAGGGGGAGGTGTGGTTCCTAAAACTAGACTGTGGCCATACCCCTCTTACAAATTTGCTAAAAACTGTTAATTATAAACTAAAAATAAAAAGGCAAAAAGTGTACTCAAAAATAAAAGTAAATCTGTCTTTTGAAAATGCTGTAGTGTGAACTTTTTAGAGGTCACTCTACCTCTCAATAGGTGGTTACAAGAGAAGGTGAAAATAGCCATTTTTATTTAGTCACAGGAACTGTTATGAGGCACAGTCCTTAGGCCAATTATTTGAGCAAAGCAAAACAAAATAAAAATGATTCACAAATGGTCAGCTTCAGAACCAGGGCAGGTTCTGAGAACTCTAACCAACAACGGACCAGACAGAACACACACTGTTATTAACTTAACCGGCTTCTTCTTAAGCAATCAACCATTAATTTGGTTATAGCTTAACTAGTTAATTGTTTACAGCTGAGTTAATTGGCTACAGGGCCTCCTGCAACCAACCGAAGTTCAGTTTTTCTTTTTTTTTTTTTGGCGGCACTGGGGTTTGAACTCAGGGCCTCACACTTGCTAGGCAGGTGCTCTACCACTTGAGGCACTCCCCCAGTCCAAAGTTCAGTTATGGTGATTAAACTCAGTGTATTGACTTGGGCCTCCTGGGCCCAACCAATGCCTTCCATACGTTTTATTTAACAGACCCTCTTCAAATAGAAAATAAGTAACTTGTCCTAAATGTAGCACAATCGAAGTGTTTATTCCTTCAACTCCCATTAGAAATGTTTCAGTCACACTATTTCTAACCCTGTTCAATGGAAAAGCACTTCCAGGGCTACTATTTCTAAAAAAGTTCTTCCGGGAGGCCTGCAAGACATAGAGCAAGCTGCCAGTTACTGAGAATCCATTCACACTGTCCACTGAGGGGGTTCCAAAGAGGACTAAGAAATAGTCACAATTAGCTGTAGAGGGTTAAGATGTCTAGGAAAACAATACTTGAAAGGAAACCACCCAAAGCTTAGCATGGTGGTGCCCAACTGTAATCCCAATACATAGTGAGAGGTTGGGTTACACAGTGAAACCCTAGCTCACAAAAACAAAAAGCAACCAATAGCCCTGTGGTCTGAGGAGGAAAATATTCTGGTGATGAAATAACCGGAAAGAGAGATTTAGGACCTAGTAACAATTAAATATAACTTGTAAACATACTTTGTCCCTTTTAGGACTTATTTCACCCTTTCAGAATTTCTTCAGATCAGATGTGGTAAACCTCTCAAAAGACAGTTGGTGCTATGAGAAAGTAGTCCTAATTAGGATATGTGTCAAGGAAATGTAATTATCAATTTGCCTAATTAAAATGAGTATCTGAACATGCTTAGGAATTAAAGCCTCCTCAGGTGAGACATGTATAATTTCTTCTTTATAAACATGCATCGGCAGAGTCTAGCAGATTGTGTTAACAAGGAATGGATGATTGAGACTGAGCCTCACATCTCACACTACTGGAGAAGCTGCAGGGATGCAGTGAGTTGTGTAAATCAGCCCAGCGGGGGTGGGGGGAGGGAGATATGGTCTTAGAGTAAAGAGCTCTGTTGACTAGCACAGAATCTAGACCTAAAAATAAATAATAATGACATGATTGTAAAGAGGGGGATGGTGTAAGGGGGGAACCAAAAGGAGGGGAGGAGAAAGGAGAGGGTGATGGGGGGGGTGAATATTACAGAAGTACATTTTATCTATGTATGAAAATAGCACAATGAAACCCACTAAAAACTGCTAAAAGGGGGAGAGAAGGAGGTGTTAAATATAGATGGGGTGGATTTGATCAAAATACATTATATGTGTGTAAGTAAATATCACAATGAAACCCCTTTGTACAACTTTATGCTAATAAAAACTTGATTTTAAAAAAGAAAAGAAAAAAGAGAGAATCTAAGTGACTAATTCTGGAGGTAGGTGACTAATTCTGACTCTGCCCTTGGGGCAACTTTACCAGCACGAGGCTGTACTTCCCATAGGGCCTTGGGCACCTCTAGGAGTACCCATCAAAGTTGCCAGCTCAGCTTACATTCACATAGATTTCTCCAACATCTGATCCTTTATGCCATATGGTCTAAGTCCTCCTGCTCAGCTTTGATGCCAAGGCCAGCTCCTGACTTTATCTTCCAGAATCTCTAGTTATTTCTGCCTTGAGCACTTCCACCTGTGCTCTCCTTGGCCCTAAACACTGGCATATTCTAGGGTCCCTCACACAGCTGCACAGCACACTATCCACTGTGCTACACTTTCCCTTAGCAAAGCCTTTGACTCCAAAAGCAGCACCACCTACTCCCCCTCTGGATGGCAGCCATTCCTACATCCCTAGTTATGTACTACACCCCATGAGTTGCCTCAGAATTCCTGATGATCCCTAGAATCCATCTCATCAAGTGTGAGTCCAGTCCTTACACCAAGGGCAGGAAACCCCCACTATCACATACTGCCAACACAATCCCGATTCCTCCCACTACAGTGGCCATCGGAGCCATCTGTTGCTCTTTTTGTGCCATACCTCTGTGCTCAGGTCTGAGCCCCTAAGGATAACTTGCCCCTGCCCACTTTCTGTTCATAAGATACCAGAGAGTGCAAAAAAAAGCATAGTAAGTATTTCTCAAACTGAAAGGAAGACATTCAGCGAAGTAAAAGGAAACTCTCCTGAACATCTGGTAGAAGTAAAAAACAGGTACAACCACTTTGGGTGGCAAAGTAACCATAGCTGGTATTACAGCCCATGACCCAAAGCAGGCCTGCTGTCACTCATTTGCTTACAAGGAGGAAGGGGTGAGGCTACCCAAATCTGTAAAGAGTCTGAGAAAAAAAGTCTTGGGAGAACCAGTGACCTTCAGGAAAGGAACACAGGCAGCTCAAGGTAACCGCACTGGACATGATATGTGCTGACTTTTGCTTTCCCCACCCTCTGATCTCCAGTGGGGGCTTCCCATTGGCTGGGCTAGAGGGCAAAAAATCCAATGATGTCCCTAGAGGTCAATCTCTTGGGGCAAGGTGGGAAAGCTAGAGGGATTCAGAGAGGCAAAAGGAGAAGAAAGAAGCAAATGAGAAGACACTCAGCATATCCATCCACAGACTGCACCGAGTAGATACTCACACAATAGAATATTACGCAGCAGGAAATGAGTGGAGCAGAAATTATTTATACCAATACCGATACAGCTAAAAAAAATCATATTGGGTGAAAGAAAGCCAAATCAAATATAACATGTAAAGAACAGCACCATAGCAGATTGCTTTTTCTCTACATCCACCCGTGGATCTCTCGTTGCAAATACTTCCAGACTCGTTGCAAATACTTCCAGAACCTTGCCACTCCCCCGCTGCAAGTTACAAAGAAGAAAAAGATCAGATTCGGGAGTGGGGCAATGAATGGTGAAAGTACATTATACTCATGAATGAAAATAATGAGACCCATTAAAATTGTTTTTAAAGGAAGTGGGAACAAGAGTAATTTTAAAAAATAATAAAAAGGTTCTAGCAGAGAATTACAGGAGAAATCTTAGGGTGTGATACCCTGGGCAAGTCTGGGGAATCAGGAACCAAGCTCCCTTCTGACCTATGTATAGTTCAAGGACTAACATTCACTTAGCATGTGTCCCACTGGGTTACAGAAACACTCGGTATCTGTTAACACTCCATTCACCCTATAAGACAGGTATTATCAAATACATTTTTACAATGAGGCAGATGCTCTAAATCCAACATCCAAGTTTAAGAGGTACTTAAACTGCTTTTTCTGAGAAGCACTGACTCTTTTCTTGGACCCACAAATTAACTAGAAACAGGAGAAAAGACTTGGCATCTCTGTCTCCATTTTGTACTTGTTGTCCTTTGCTCTGAGCCATTCTCTCCTGCAGCCACCTTGGAATAAAGAAAGGACAGGAATGATCGATAACATCTTTATGACCAGGGATCAAAACTACCATAAAGGAACTGCGGATCCTTTCAGGACAGACCACCCCTCCAAATGAGGACAATTACCCATAATGATAAGGCTGCACCCTGAAACAGGAGTAATCATCTCATGAGAACCTGATTGCTCCCCTTAAGTGATGACAGCAATAACAATTTCTCTGGAACAAGAACTGATCTAATGACCAACCAAGCAACACCTGTGACTGGGACTGTTTCTGCAAACCTTTTGTCCTCAGCCCTAATTCTTTACTATTCAAAACTAAAGCCATGTCTGTACCAGGAGGATGGCTAAAGATGGGCTGTGTGCTTACACTGCCTCTTCCCACTTCCCAGGTGTGTCCTAGGCTGTGTAATAAACCTCCTTTCTCTGCCTTCACCATTACTGTCTCTTTATTTGGCTTACCAAGGAGGATGGATACACCTGACATATGGAAACCCAGGAGTTTGTGCCTGGGGTTCAAAATTCTGGTTCCACAAGCACTTAAGTCGACCACGACTGTTCCGATGGCTTCTGCTAACATTTTGGTGAAGAATTCTTACAGTTAATAGCCAAAACGTGGGAGTATAAAATGCAACCTGGTGAAAGACCTTTTTAAAAATAGCAGCCTCCACTGGCACCGAGCTCTTATTCAGGGCTTCCCACACCCTCACTATGGCTCCCGTTCTACAGACTGGGAAACTGAGGCCAAGGCTCGCTGAGGCAGAGCTTGGAGCCCAGGTTCAACTGCAACCCCCACCTCCCACAAGCTGTTCTCTACTCTGCCCTGCTGCCTTCTTACTTCCCTTCTCGCGGGAAGTTAGGTCAACGTCAGCCCACACCCTAGACCAGACCCCTCGCTGGACTCCTCGCTCCACCACGTCGCGGAGCCGCGGTCGTGCAGCACCTATTGCGGTCCCTAGCCCTGGGTGCAGCCCACGATGGAGTCCGGCTGGAGGTGCGCGCTCGCACACCGAAGGTTCCCCCGGCGGAAGGTTCCGCAGCTCTGATGTCCCCTCCCTGGGCGAAGGGCCAGCAGTACCTGTAGAAAACGCGTCCAGGGTCCTGCCCCGGGCTCTGTGGAAAACACTACCCGCCTCCGCAGCGGACATGGCGAGACAGTTCCTGGCCTTGCCTAAACACGCTACGTGGGAAGGAGCGACGCGACTCAATTTCGCCCAACTGCCCCGCCTGCCCCGCTGTGGGCGGGGCCTTCTGCTGGGGGCGTGGCCGGGGCGGGCAGGGGCGTGGCCGGGGCGGGAATGGGTAGTGGCTGGGCCGCTCGGGCGCCACTAGTGCTGCCTGGCCAGGACGGAGTGAGCGGCCGCTCTGGGATCGACCCGCGCGCCTGGAGAGGGGAGGCGGAGTCTCAGGCGGCCACGTGGGCGAAGCCACTGGATGTGGGGCCAGTCTTTCCCTAAAGAGTTGCCAGAGTTAATAAGTGCAAGTCCAGGACTGCTCTCCCCACCCACGTTAACTTGGAATTTCAGATTTAAAAATATATATATACATACATACATAAATATATACATATACATATATACATACACACATTAATTTAGTATAAGTATATCCTATGCAATATCTGGGAGATACTTACGCTATTTTTTTTATCATTTTTATCTGAAATGCCAGTTTAACTGCGTGCTCTAATTTTTATCTGGCAACTCTATTAGGTCAGAAGGGCTGGGTCCTCTCTCAGGACGGTCCAATGTGACCTACTTTTAAGGCATCTTGAGCTTTCCAGTCATCAGCACCTTGTTCTGTTACTCTGTCTTGCTCTGCAGCAGGTCAGTGGTTCTGCTCTACTCTGACCAGACTTCTTTCAGCTCCTCCATTCTTCTTTTGTCTGCCTGGAGGATGAGAGGGGGCACGCAAGCAGCATGAGAAGAGTGTATTCCTGGGCATCAGACTGACAAGTTGTTTGGTGCACTTCCCTGCTGTGTGGCCTTAGGCAAGTCCCTTAACCTCTCTGAACCTCAGAATCCTCATCTAGAACAAAATAATGATAGCACCAGCCTCATATGGTTTTCCTAAGGATTAGATGGAGTGTGAGGGCAGCAGTTCTGGAACATTCTAAGTGCTTGATAAATTTTTGCTGTAGTTGATATTGTTAAAACTTATTGTTATCATAATTGCTATTGTTAGGATACCCTTCAGTTCATTATTTTCTAGTCAAAATTCTACTCCTCTTTCAACACTGCGTTCAGGTGTCATCTTTCATATCGAAGTATCATTTTGTCACAGATAACAAAAAAAAAATCAGTTCAAATGGGCTTAATCAGAAAAATGGTTGGCACATATAAATTAAAACCCTGTGCAGATTCAAGAGAGGTTTGATCCAGCTGCCCAACGAATGCTGTAAGAATGCAACTTCTATTTGTTCCCTCTGCCTTTTGTCATTTTGGCTTTATCTTGGCGCTCCAGAGAGAGAACTCCCTTCCATCCATCACTAAGCTCTGCCTAGCAACTTGAGTTCCACACCACATCCTTGTGAGACACCATGGCTGGAATTTAGAGACCCAGAGATGTTATGAAGAACACAACAGCCCTGTGTGCTCTCCCCCTCCATGAAGCAGGCAGAGCAATTTGTCCTAACGTTCACAGGCCTGAGGCTGCTGGACTTTTATGGTCCTTCCGTCTACTTTTAATAGACGGTGTGTCTCCTCCTTACAACTGGGCGGTGGTGAGTCGTGCCTCATCGCTGTGATGGTAAATCCTCAGTGTCTCCCTCCTTCCCTTCTTTCTCACCAGCCCAGGTTTGTGAAGCCTGGTGTGATGAAAAGGCTGTGAAGGTTGGGGACTATAGTCAGCCATAGGCATGGCTGCATAAGAACCTGAGGCCTCATTTAGAGAAAAATGCTTTGTTTTAGTCATTCCTGGTTAATTTGATGTGTTAACTTTGGGCCATGGGGTCCAGATATTTTGTCAAAGGTTATCCTGAATATTTCTGGGATGATGTTTGTTTGTTTTTTAATGGAATATATGTATATTTGGACCTGGTGTCAAGCAGATTGTACTCCAGTGCAGTTGTAGGGCTGGACTGATCTCCCCCCAAGCAACAGGGAATTCAGCTGGCACATAGCCTTTGAACTTGAACTGGAGCATCAGTGCTCTCCTGGACTCAGCATCCTGCTGGTTCATACTGCAGATTTTGGACCTGCCAGCCCCCATAATCACGAGTCAATTCCTTAAACTAAACCCTTTCTTACTGCTAACTCCACATTTGACTGATTCTGTTTCTCTGGAGAACCCTGATGAATACAGACTGTGAGAGGTCTTTCTTTGGAAGTGTTGGGGTCCCAGAGTTGGGATCACAGTTCACAGTTCAAGTTGAATACGGCTATGGAGAATGAAAGCACTGTGGGTATCAGACACCCCTCACTTTTATTTAGTCCTGACCTGCAATGTTGAGGTAGGGCTCAGGAATAGACTGGGGATTCTGTGGGATCAGGAATAATGGAAGGGCATCGGGGCTGCCACTTTTACCTATTTGATCTGTTTTTTCTTTGCTTTGTTTTTGGCGGTGCTAGAGTTTGAACTCAGGGCCTTAAGCTTGCTAGGCAGGTGCTCTACCACTTGAGCCATTCCACCAGCCCAATCTATTTTTTCAGTGTGTGTGTGTGTGTGTGTGTGTGTGTGTGTGTTTTAAACTGAAAATGAAATAGCTTAGTTTTTAGACCAGGTCAAAATGCCATGTGTACTCTGAAAACAACAACAAAATAATGAGTGCTGCCGGGCACTGGTGGCTCACACCTGTAATCCTAGCTACTCAGGAGGCAGAGATCAGGAGGATCGGGGTTCAAAGACAGCCTGGGAAAATAGTTCATGAGACCCTATCTTAAAACACACACACACACCACAAAAAGGGCTGGTGGGGTGGCTCAAGGTGTAGGCCCTGAGTTCAAACCCCAGTACTGAAAATAAAAATAATAATAATGAGTGCTATTTTTTTTTTGAAACAGTGTAGCCTAGTCTGGCTTCAAGATCCTTCTGCCTCAGCATCCTGAGTGCTAGGATTACAGGCCAGTACTACCATGCCCAGATTCTTTCCTCCGCCCCCAATTTACCAATTTAGTTAATACTGTCATAGGCTTCGTGTTCACAGGACTTTCCCAATTTTTTTCCTCTTTGTAAGATATCAGACAAATTTCTAGAAAGTTCCAAGCTACACCTATGTTCTCCAACAGAAAAGTAAATTCATGCCCTCGAGATCATTTAGCTATCCCTATAACCCTCTTAGGTAAGTTGCATAACTTATGCTTTTGGGAAAGGGGGTACTGGAGTTTGAACTCAGGGACTTGTGCTCGCTAGGCAGGCGCTCTGCCACTTGAACCATGCCTCCAGCCCTTTTTGCTCTGATTATTTTTGAGATAGGGTCTCACATTTATGCCTGGCTGGCTGGACAACAATCCTATTTGCACTTCCCACTGTAGCTGGGATTACAGGCTTGCAACAGCACATCCGGCTTCTTCTGTTTACTCAGCATCTCAAGCTTGGAATGAAGAGTCACCTGATCTTGGCCTCCTGTGTAGCTGGGATGACAGGCTTGAGCCACTGGCACCTGGCTTATATTTTTTGTTGTTGTTATTGGAAATAAAACTATCATTCGTGATATCATATGCGATTATTCTTTAGGGGTGACTGCCAAGGCATTTGATATACATTCTCACATTTTACTGTGGCTCCCCCCAACCAAAATGAAGTTTCATCTCTTTAAAGATGTGATCTGGGAGTCCAAGGGAAACTGGGTCATCCCACCAGTAACCAAAATGGCAAAACTGAAATTTCTCTTCCTACTAGCTTTCTGCCCTTTATAGTCAGTTATCAAGCCATTGGCACGCTTTTAGATCTATGCCAATACAACTTTTGCCTGCCATTTGGCTTTAAGAGTTTCTTAGGACTATTTTTTAGAGGTGGGGTTCACTGAGTTGCCCAGGCTGGCCTCAAGTGATCTTCTATCCTCAGCCTCCCAAGTTCTGGGACTACAAGCATGGCCCACCTTTCTTAAGGGTTGGCCTTGAAAACTTGTGCCCATTGGACAACATTGCTTAGGAAACAACCAGTTGTTGACTTAGAGGTGAGTCACATGACCTGAGCTTAAGGTCAGATCATTTGACCTACTGTTTATTTCGCTGACTTTACTGACTTTAACACTGTGCCCTTCTGCAATTAACCTTGCTGGTTTAGTTTCCTCACCCATACAGTGAGGGATCATGTGTTTAACTAGAAATAAATGGCTTCTTAAAGTTGTGGTTGCTATTTATTTATTTGCAGTGCTGGGTTGTTTTTTTTTTTGAACTCCGGGCCTATGTCTTGAACCATTCTACCAGCCCTTTTTTGTGATGGGCTTTTATGAGATAGGGTCTCGAAACTATTTCCCTGGGCTGGCTTCGAACCGTGATCCTCCTGATCTCTAACTCCTGAGTAGCTAGGATTATAGGTGTGAGCCACCAGTGGCCAGCTGTGGTTGTTATTTAAACCACTGACAACCTCTTGACAGGGCAGAACCCTCAGGGTCCTGAATTCAGAAGCTAGAATGGAGAATTTATATCCAATAAATTCAGAGGAGAGACCTTCCTCTTACCCTATTTCTTCCCACCAAACCATCCACACCAGTAACCTCTGGTCACATGTGACTGCTTCAATGAATCAAAGTTAAATAAAATGAAAATGACAATCTCTCAGGCACACTAGGCATATTTCAAGTGCTCAGTAGTGAGCAGCTGGAGTTTGGGAAAAAATACAGTACACTCAGTTAAATTTGAATTTCAGATTAAGATTGTTCCAACATATTTATATTAAAAATCATTTGTTTATCCAAACTTCAATTTAACTAAGCATCTGTATTTTATCTGGAAAATTTAGATTTTCTATTCATTCCCATGAGTGCTGAGATTTCTCTCTCTCTCTCTCTCTCTCTTTCTCTCTCTACTTCTCATTCATGGTGGTACTGAGGATTGAACTCAGGGCCTCAAGCACTCTACCACTTGAGCCACACTCCCAGTCCTTTTGCTTTTTTACTTTATTTTTCAGATAGGGTCATGTGCTTTTGCTGGGGCTGGCCTTGCACCAAGATTCTCCTGAGTAGCTAGGATTACAGGCACATGCCATCACACCCCACCTTCACACAGAGATTTCTATTGGATGATGCTGATTTGGAACATCGATGGTCAACTTGGAATC